TGCCGGGCAGGGGAGGGGCGCAGGGGTGCAGCTGCCCGCTCCCTACTGCCCCCGCCCCCCAACACGCTGCCAGTGCGTGAGCCTCCAGACTGGCCAGTCCCTGTCCACCTCTGCCTGGCCCATTTCCTTCTGCAGTTGAACCTCCGTTGAGCCTTCTAGCCTCTCTGCATCCCTCCTCTGCCCAGGCGCCCTCTCTGTGCAGCCAGAGCTTCAGCCACCCTGCGCACCCTCTTCTCCCGCTGCCTGGAACCCCCTACCGCAGCACAGCGGCGCGTGGAAGCTGCACCCTGTGGGTGGCCAGGGGGCCGGTTCCCGCTTGATGCGGTCCTTCTGCATGTGGACGCAGAGCACACAGGCGCACTGCCTGGACCCGCAGGGTCTAGACATTTCCTTGCTCAAGAGCCTCTTTGGATCATTTTGGGATACACACACACACACACACACACACACACACACACACACACACACCGCGGAGTGGATCTCGCCTGTAACCTGTTCATCTAAATCTAATGTGCCCTCTCTGGGGATGAATAAACCATAGGGACGGCAAAGACATGCATGCCCAAGTTTTAAAAAGGGGTGTGGCCTGGTGCGGTGGCACCCGCCTGTAATCCTAATGGCGGGGGAGGCTGAGGCAGGAAGATTGCGAGTTCAAAGCCAGTCTCAGCAATGGCGAGGCATTGAGAAACTCAGTGAGACCCTGTCTCTCAATAAAATACAAAATAGGGCTGGGGATGTGGCTCAGTGATCCAGTGCCCCTGAGTTCAATCCCGGATACTTTAAAAAAAAGGGGGGGGCACACGGGGGATGTGGCTTTATGGCAGCCAGCACCACTCTGTAGATGTTAAATGACAGTATCTTCCCTCCAAGTCGGGATGAGGGGGCCTCGCCCAGATGCTGTTTTGCCCTAAGGCATCCTGCCCCCTCAGCCTGGAGTGCTGACCTCCTCTTTGAAATTGCAGGACAACACTCCCCCAAGACCCAGCAGAGCACAGGAGAAGTGCAGACCAGGGGTCCCCAAGGCTGGCCTCAGAGCAGCAATATGGGCCTCCTTTGGAAGCACTGGACATGCACCTTCTTCTTCAGGTGCCGCAGACCTGTGGGGCAGGCCGCCCTGTGTGCTCAGGCTCCGGGACTGCTGGTGCTTACCCATAGGTGACTCTCACTGGCACAGACCCCTCCTTCCTGTCTTCATAACCTTTCTCCTGGTGGCACCACATCACATTCCCTTGGGAAGTCCCCTCCCCACTGTTGGACCTTACGGTTAGGTGGCATTGACTCATCGCTCCCCCATCCCATCTCATGACCTGGGCTTGACCAGTTCAAAGGTTCTGTCTCCCTGATCATAGTGGCTGGTTCAAGAATGTGCTAGAGAGAGGGTGGATCCAATCAGAATCAGCCCTGGGACTTTTACTGGAGTCTCTGGGAAAGATATGTTTCTGCGGAAGTGATTAATCCCGTAGAACGTAAGCCTGGAATGACAGGGAAAGCTTCCCCAAGAGTAAAGCAAACATAGCAGAGAGCCAGGAGAGGAAACTGAGCACCTGGATACAGCTTTACCTGACGCCAGATGCCCGGGTACTTTCCTGTTACACAAGCAAATGATCTTCCTTATTGACGCAAGTCACTTTCCATGTGTTTCAATCTCTTGTAGCCCAAGTAATCCCGAACAACACAGGAACGGGAGCGAAGGTGTAGCCTCCTCTCTTCAGAGGAGAGGCAAGATCAATATACCTCGTAGACGTAGTTCCAAATCCTGGCTTCACGGTTGCTTAATAACTGTGTGACGCTGAGCCAGTCCCTCTGCCTTTGTGCTCCTCCTTCCCTCGTGAAACAGGAATAACATGCCTTGAGGGGGGTGGGGTGGACTGCTGGGTCGTGTAATAGTCACAGGCCACATTTGGGAAGTCACACTGGTGACCTGGAGCAAGCAACCTGGCGTCTCTGAGCCTCAGTTTCCTCACTGGCAGGAAACAGGGAAGAGTTAGTATCTCAGAGGACTAAGCATGCTCTGAACCAGGTGGACCAAGGGGACATAGGTCCAGGACAGTCTTAAAATTGGCCGGCACTGCTGACCCACCCCAGAGGGCGGCCTGGGGCCTGCAGCTGCAGAGCGGTCAGCCCAGGGAGCAGGAACTTTGAAAGATCTCCCTCCACCGTAGAGCTGAACAGAAATTCTAGCAAGTGCTAATTAGGTCTGCGAGGCCCATGGGGGGGGGGGGTTAATCAGGGGCAGGCTCTGCAGGGGGCCCCAGGAAGTCCTACCTGCACCTCCTCTCCTTGCCAGGGCTGAAGCCTCAGCCAGGAAGCCAGGCATGTCCCCGGACAGCCTGCGAGGCTGAGCCCTGCCGCCATCTGGTCCCCAACTGTGCCTAATGTTTCTACCAGACCCACCAGCTAATTGCATGGTGGGCGCACCCTTCACATCTGTAACACCTAATTTACCATTGTTCCTCTGGAGCCCGGTCCCACGGCTGGGGGGAGGGGGCCCTCTGCCCGGTTTATGGGGCTTTCAGGCCCTGGGCATGGCGGTCTGGCCTGGCAAGGCTCCAGCCAGTGGGGAGCTAGCAGGGCATCCCCCGAGGTCCTGCTCCGGGCCTGGGGCCACGCATCCCCGCAGCCTTCCCACAAGTGCAGCCTGTGGCACTGTCACACAGAGGATCCTCCCACCCCGCCCCACCAGGGCCACAGCATGTGTCTTGCTCCAAACTTTGGAGCTTGGTTCCCACTGCATCCTCAGCAGAGGCGGGAAGGAGAGGGTCAAGAGAGCAGTGCGGACTGGGAACACCAGGCCTGGGCTGGCATCTCCCTCTGGACACAGGTGGCCACCTGCCTCTAGTCCCAGCTACCTGGGAGGCTGAGGCAGGAGGATTACTGGAACCCAGGAGTTCAAGGCCAACCTGGGCAACATGGCCACACTCTGTCTCAAAAGTCTCAGCTGTGCCATTTTCTCCCGGGGGACCTCGAGTCCATCCCATTCTTCCATGGCCTGAGTCTCCCAGGCTCTTGTGCCCATGGAACGGGGATCCTCGTAACAGGGACAATGCCAAGCACTCACCTTCCTGGGAGCCCCATGCCAGATTAGGGAGTGGCACGTTATGGTGACCTCAAGGGAAGCTGTGGAGTAGGAAGAAGGTCAGTCACAGGGGCAGAAGACCCACAGCCGGGGAGGTGTAAGGGCATATCGTCCCCAAACCCACATGTGTCCTGGACTTGGGGCCCACTATTGTTCTTGTCCCTTGAAACACAAGGGCCGGGTCCACCTCTCCTGGCTCAGCATGCAGATCTTGGGCACTGTCTGCCCTGCTCTCTGCTCACTAGAAACCAACTTGGAAGGATGCTGAGAGGGTGTCCTGGCCCCAGGCTCGCCTCCATCTTCATCTCCTAGGTCGTAACTACTAACTGGGCATCTAACAGGCTCTGTCGTCACTCGCTGGGTGACCTGGAGCAAGGCACTCCCCCTCTCTGAGTCTCAGCCACCTCCTCCCGGAAAGAGCAGAGAGGACAGGAGGGAGCATTGGCGGAGGCCTTTCCAGCAGGAAGAACTTTTCTTTAGCATAACAACAGCCCTGCAAGGTCAAAGGTGATGGGGCCCTGAGCCTGCCACTCCCAGGAATGACTAGTGTGCCCCAGACTGCCCAGCAGGCAAAGTGGCCAGAGACACTCAGGGGCTCCAGGTCCCAGGTCTCTGGACACTCTGTGAAACAGTCACCTGGAGGGTGCAGGGGGCTGGGGAGACCCATCCCCAGGCACTAGGAATACAACTTGTATCGTCCTCCCTGGGGGGTGGGGGAGACAATGGGCATTGAGACAGAGCCCATGGATTGGTAGCGAGAGAGGCGCCAGGAGAGAGTCGGAGAGCAGAAAGCAACCAGACCTGGACAGACTGGCCCAGGTCCGATTTCAGCTCCTCTGTCTACTGGCAGCAGGACCTCAGGCAGGTGACTGCATCTCTGAGCCTCTCTGTAAAGTGGGACTGAGAACACCTGCCTCAGACCACCTGGGGGGCCAACGAGATGGTGATTGGTTCAGAACAGGAGCTCTGGAGCACGGCTGCAGCTGCTAAGACTGGAGTTCCCTGTCCCACTGACTATGGAGGCCCCACAGCCTCCTCCCCCAGCAAGTGTCCCTAAGAAGCCACCATCCTGGCTGGAAGAGCTCCCTGCTGTCCACGGTGCTCATCATGAACATGTTCCTTGTAACTCGGGAATGTCCAGGAAGCTCTGTCTAAACAGAGCCGGGCCCACATCTTCCCGCGAAGGGGACTCTAAAGAGGCAAGAGGAGGAAATGACCACAGGCCCTACAGCCCCAGGGGAACAGGGGCAAGGCTTTGGGGAGGGCCTGGCGTGTGCTGGGAGGGACGCCAGAGCCAGCAGCAGCAGGCTGCCCAGGGCCAGGGTGGATGCCCAGCTTGCCCGGCTCAGGGTGCTGGGCAGCACTAGGCTAGCATCTGCCCTTCCTTCTCCTTTAAAGTGCAAGGTCCCTCAGGCCTGGCTGCCCATTGCAGGCCAAGCCAAAGCTCTGGTCACTCTGCATCCCTCCAGTGCCCCCTCCCTTCACCCTGCTCTGGTCCCAGGCCTCCTTGTCCCCTGAGAGCCCGACAGGCTCCAGCCTTCTGGCCCCTCCACCTGGAGTGTGCTTCCCCTCCACGTGGAGGGGGGTCCTCCCTCCTCCTTCAATCCTGCTCAGAAAGCCCACCTCCGAAGCCCCGCCCCCGACAGCAGCCCCACCCCCGCCCTCACCTGGCCTGATTTTTTCTGGGCTGGATTCTGTGTCCCCCAGGGTTGGCCTGCTCGGTTCTGTCCGTGTCCCCAGGGGAAGCACGCACCCCCCAGGGGAAGCACGCACCCTGAGGGCAGCAGCCGTTTGGGTCGTGGTGCCCCGGTGACGCCGGCCCCGGGCAGGAGTGAACCCAGTCTGCGGGGTGGGGAGGGAATGAGTGTGGGACCTGGAGCAGCGCTGCTCCACTTGACCCCTTAATTCCACACGGATCCTTTCAGTGCTGAGGCCACAGAGCGTCCACCTCACAGGGAAGTTGTTTCAATAAATGGCGTTGACGGAGAGTGAAGGCGCGACAGAGGACCGCTGCCTGGGGACGACAGAAGCCCCGGGGGCTGCGCTCCGGGTCAGGATCCAAGCTCAGGGACTCAGGGCGAGGTGGGGGGGGGGTCACTGTACGGGGTGGGTCCTGGGGGCGGCCCTTGGTCTCTGGGCTGTGCCCTTGAATCGACCTCGGGCCTCTCTCTCTTTTGCTTCTGCCATGAGGACAGCAGTTTGGATCTGCACAGGGACTGTCCCCCCATGTGCTGTGTCTCCATAAGCCCAAAACATGAGGGCCAAATGATCACGGACTGGACCCTCCAGACTGAGCCCAAACAAACCTCTTCTTAGGCAGTTATCTCAGGCCTTCTATCACAGTGACAGAAAGGGTCATCCCAAGGGTCTTGGCTATCACCTGCTTACTGAGGGGCCTGGGCCAGTGGATGATCTTTCCGGGCAGTCTCTTCATCTGTCAAGGTGGGAGAGCCTCTCCCCCACTGAGCTATGGCTGGACATGCTGGCCCAGTGCCCAGGAAGCCACCAGAATGTGCCTGAAGCAGAGGCTTCCACCAAGCAGCAGCCACATAGCGAGGGGCCCCACCACGTCCTCATCTAGCGACCTGGACACCTGGCTTGGAGATTCCCAGCCTCGGTCTCCTGGGGTAGTAACTGTACCTTCCACGCAAGCTCCTGAGGTCACAGGGAGGTTGCCCACCTCCAGAACTTCACAGGCTCTAAGGAAGTGTCCAGAGCTGGGCGGGAAGGTGGACACAGACATGCGGGCAGGGCCTGGGGGGAGAGGGGCTCTGCACCTCCACGTTGGCATCATCCCAGCAGGGAACCCTTCCCTGCCCCATCCCCTCCTCTCCAAGGGTCTTGTGGGAACCTGTCTGGCCAGTCTCAGGGGAAGGAGCTTTCAAGAGAGGCAGATGACAGCAGCAGGACCCAAGAATAACGGTCAGAGGCCTCGGTCACTCTGCTGTCCCACGAGGAACACAGTTTACCAGGAAGAGACATGGGCTGGAGCCAGGAGAAGCCAGAACCATGTCTCCCACTCAGCCCAGGCTCAGGGCGAGGCCCACGCCTCCTGTCTGCTCTCAACCCCGGGGCCACCTGGAGAACAGGTGCTGGAGCCAAACTCCTCACCCCCCAGGCTCGAGTCTGAGGACAGAAATCCCAGGTGCCAAACTGACCTGGACCCACTGACTATGTCCCCTGGTCTAGCCCATCTGTGAGGCAGGACTCTGTGTATGTGTGTGTGTTGTTCTTCAATGACCCCCCAGACCTAGGGGACTGCCTGGCACTTAGTAGGTGCTTCATGAACACATTTGAGTGGATGCAGCCTTCACTAAATCAACAAATGAAGGGAGGTCCCACTGGGTTCCTGAAAGTGATGCTCCCCATGGGCTCTGAACCTCGGCCCTTATGTAGGCCATGCACGGGAAATGCTGGGTGACAGAGTCACAGTGTCCCATCAGACTGTCCTCTCTCTGAGGCTGCCTGTTCAGTGCTGAGCGAATCCAGGAACAAATGACCCAAGGCCCTAGCCACGGAGCAAAGACTAAGACCCACAGGACACGGAACAGCTGCCCGGCCCCAGCCACCACTCTCCTCGTGGATTTTTAAATAATTTGTCGGTTGTTTTTAATTGTTGAGGCAGTAATACTTGTTCATGAAACTGCAATATACAGAGAGGTGAAATAAATAGCTTATATATATAATATATATATAATATAGCTGGTTTTAAAGTATCCCCTTATCATTGGTGTACTAGTCACGTGAGCGAGAAGGTCCACAGCAGCGTCCTCCAGGACCGCGCACGCGCAGGGCGCCGCGGCTGGACGAGGCCGTCTGTCGTCGGAGTCGGGCGCGGAGCGCTGGGCGCCTTCCCTGCGCGGTGTCTCGGGACAGCAGACAATAAATAACTGACTGCAAACCAGAGAGCGATTTTTGTTGAGTCTGGGCAGGGCTGGGCTGGGGACATGGGGACGTTGTGGGAAGGGGCCCTACTTTCTTTTTTTTTTTTTTTCTTTATTCTTTTCCTTCTTTCTTTGCTTTCAGAACCTTTGGGAAAAAGAACTTTGGTTTCTCGGAGTGTCGGCTCCCTCGTTGAGTCCTCTGGGGACAAGTTAGAGCTGCACTCCTGCAGCGAGAGGGGCAGGCACCCGTGGGCTGACAGCAGTCCTCTGCATGAGTCTTGTCATCGGGGTTTCAAGTCAACAGTAAAATCCCATCGCCCCTCCCCCCCAAGAGTTTTGGTTCAGTTTTTTTTTTTTTTTTTTTGTCTTCTTTTAAACACAAATGTACAAAAATAGAGCTTCTTCCTTATTTTTCGTGTAAAAATATTCCTCTGATGCCATTCTCGGGGAGTGTGAGTGGGTCCGGGGGCCTCGGCCTAGCCAGGGTGCGTGGGGCGGATCCTCCGAGATCGCTTGGTCACCGTCGTGTACTTGAAGGGCTTCTGCAGCTCTGCCTGCCCCTTGGGGTAGCGCTTCATGAAGTGCACATCCTGCTGGTTCTCCCGGGTCTTGGGGCCCTTTCGAGGCCTCCCCTTCTTTGTGAAGCCCACATACCAGCCAGAGTACTTGGCCGACATCAGAGCCGTGTAGTTGTTCTCCAGAACCTTCTCGATGAACACACACTCCTTGCTGGTGCCATCAGGCTGCAGGAGAGAGAGGAAGAGTGTTAAAGAAAAACGATCCAATGGTCCTTGTGGACCACAGTCCAGGGGCTGTGGCGCTGGGATTTTGCAGCAAGGGAGAGAGACAGAGCTCAACTCCCAGCACAGCACAGGCAAGCCAGAGTTCACAGCCGAGGAGCACAGTGGGTACAAAGGATGGAGATGACTAAGAGGAAATGTCAGGGGTCAGGGGGATTCTAGAGGAAGCAACCTAATGGGGTCTCTGCTGAAGGCAGGCCAGTGCGACCAGACATCTCCTGGGGGGAGGTGGAGCTGTCAGATATGGGGAGTGACCGAGTGTCAAGGGCAGGACCACATTGCACAGTGGGCCCAGGAAAAGTCTCAGCAACCTGACCAAAGTTTGGCCCTGCAGAGTCTCTGACAGGAGGAGATGACAGAGGGGAGCACAGGAGTGAGGGACAGAGCTCAGAGGAGCCAGTGTGACAAGTGGCCTCCATGACCGGCTCACAGTGGCCACCTGACCCGGGTCATCCATTCACAGGGTGGCTTCAGACCTTTGCATAAGTGACCTCGAAAAACAGAGGCCTATTTAAACTTGAGGAATCCATAAGGCTGAAGCAGAAGCGGCCATCGTGCCACCCAGAGGGGAACTTGTGTCTAGCCATCGTCCCATTGTTGGGCTCTGGATTAGGCACATCTGAAGGTCAAGTGACCTCACTGTCACATGGGCCAGTACTGTCCCATTTCCTCCAAACCAGCTGACTCTGTGTCCTCTCACGTGCAACAGAAAGGAGCCTGACAGGTCTGCCCGAATCCTGACCTGAAGCAGCTACTCAGGCCAGGTCCACTCCACCAGGATGAAACTCAATGGAAACCACGCCCCAGCGTGGACTGGCACCCTTCAGTACTTGTGGGTGGGAGATGAGTGTGGCCAATGCCTGTGCCCACGGTCCTGGGTTGCCAGGCTTCCCAGCAGATGTGGGGACCCTCCTGGAAGAACCAGGAGCACTGGATTCAGAGGCAGAAGCCAGAGGGCCTCCAACTTCCTGGGTCACCTCGGCTTGGCCACCTGCACTCTCCCAACCTCAAATTCCTCACCGTCAAGTGGGACCGCCCCTGAGATACTGTGAGGAACGCTGCTTCTAAGCAAGCCTGAGCCACAGGAGGGACATGCTCAGATTAATATTAAAGAACAGGGGGCTTCTTGGGACTGGCCTGGCTCCATGGATGTGCCTGGACAGAGAGTGGGGTAGGCAGGGCTTTGTGTCACCTCCCAGAGCTGGCCAGTTGGCTCGGTGGGGACGAGTGTGGAACACATGGGAAGGCCTGGGTCAGCAGCACTCGAGTTTCCAACCAACGACTCCACATTCAGGCTGGGCCCACTCGTCGTTCCGAATGGCCGCCCGGCCAACTTGGAAGCCAGAGGTCTGGCTGTGTGCGGACCGAGGCACAGGCTCCAGCCTTTTGTCTGAAGTGGGAACCGGGCGGCAGCTCCCAGGAGCGTTCACCTCTGAGCGGAGGGCAGGCAGGGCCCTGCAGACGCGCTGAACTTGCAGAAAGGGAGGCGGGAGAAAGCCCTCTCGGGAGACCGCAGAGTGGACAGGCGTAGGCCTGGAGACACCCTTGGGACCCAGGGGACAGTGAGAGTGGGACCAGCAGTGAGGGAACGCTGCGAGGCAAGCCAGGAAATGCAAAGGCAGGCGAGGGGTGTGGTGCCCCGGCTCTGGTCTCCCAAGGAAAATTCTGGAAGCTGCCTGTCTAACCTGAGTTCAGGTTCTTCAACCGGTCTTCAGAAACAATCAGAGCAAAGGGGACAAAGGCTTCGCCATGCTGCCTGCCACCCAACGGCCACCCAAGGTCCCTGCCCGGAGCACTTTCACCGCTCAGGGGTCAGCTGTGTGCCCGCCTCCTCTGGGAAGCTCCCAGACAGCGCCCTTCAGCTCTCAGGCCTCCTCCCCTCCTCCCTGGTCCTTCACGAGGCTCTCTACTCCTCTTCTGAACCCCCTGGGCGCCCCTCACTCTCCCCCAGACCATTCAGCGTCTCCGCCTCCTCCTTAGCCCAAGCCAGGGACAGCCATGGCATCTGCAGGTAGATGTCTGAGAGCCTCACTGATATGGTGGGGGTGACACGAACAGATCTAAAGAAAACAGACTCCACCTCCCGGATGCTTGACCAGTGCCCAGCGATATCCTAGGATGTCCCTCCTGGGGGACACATTGATTAGGGAGGAAGAGCAAGAGGAGGGCTGGAGACCCCTAACTGGCCCCGCTAAGTCTCCCTACGCATTCCTTTAGCATCTATGTGTCGCTGACCACAGGTCAGACATGGCCACGTCCAGGTGTCACTTCTTCCTCTTAACAGGCGAAGTCCACCCTCTGCCCAAGGGAGGACACAGAGCTCGCCTTGGACAAAGGGGCTTGCCCAAGGTCACGGGGCCTGCAGAGCTGACTTGCTCACTTCTCTGTCTATTCCAGAGAAGTCCACGGGCAGACAGGACAGGGAAGAGCAGACACTGCCCACCAAACCCTGCCCCAGACACACAGAGCCACCATCAGCCCACAGACGGCTGGTCAAGGCGCTAGAACAAGCACCAGAGCTCAGAGGCCACAGGCTGGGCTCCCTCAGAGCACTGGGCGCCGCTTGGGGACAGCCGGAGGTCTCTCTCCGGTGATGCCAGTGCCCCACCAGGAGCACAGGCAGCAGTGGGTGAGGACCAGCAGCTAGCCACACCTGAGCCTGACCCTCCCCTCTGCTCCTGACTGCAGGTGTGGCCTGCTGATCCCCTGCTTGGATTGAAACACACGCAGGCCCCAGCCCCAGAAGTACGGATTCAGTTGGCTCAGGCAGCAGAGCGTCCATATTGAGAGGGAGCCAACAGCTCCTCCCAGCACCTCAGTGACACAGTAGAATTCGATCCCCTCCCCCGACTCCCACCTCCGACCTCCTTTCCATACTGGATTCCGAGTTCTTCTATTTGATCTGAAGACTGAACCCTGATAACATCATCTGGTCCCTGGATCAAGCCTTACCTAAAACCAGACCCGTGGACTCTTTTAGCTGTGTAAGCCAAAAAACTCTTTCTGCTTGAAGCATTTTGAGTTGAGTTTCAGTTACTTACAACCAAAGTGGTCTTAAAGGTATGCTGATGGACAGGGAGCCCCCTTACCCTAAAAGGGTCTGAAGCTCTTTGCTGCCCCAAGAGGACCCCTCAATGGTCGTACTTGCTAGACCCTGAAAACCACTCTGGAGTGAGGGGAAGTGCCGTCCTGGGCCAGGTGGATGTGGCTTCAGAGAAGTGGCCTGAGCACGCAGGGGCTCACGGGTAGGGCTTGGGCACCACTGGCACAGATAGCAGAGGGGGGGATGGCATGCAGGCTCTGGCCAGCGATGCCCACGGTCAGCACCAGGGTCAGGAAGCTGCCCTATTGGGCCACTGCACAGGAGCTAAAGGAGTAGCTTGGTGACCTGGCTGCGAGAGGGAAAGGATCAACTTTATGGAGTCCCACATCCTTGCTTCACAATGAGGGGAGCTGAGCCTCAGGGCCAGGGGAGCCCTCTGACCCCGGGTTCCCACGGAGGCCATTCTGGCTGGAGGCGGGTTCGACCTCTAAAAGCAAGAACCCTTCCTACTTCCCTGCTGCTCCTGGAACCCCTCTGCTGAACATGGGCAGGTAGATCCCGAATTGACCCTCAGGAGCTCCCAGGCTGGTGGGGGAAACAGACCCAGGACAGGCAGTGACAGCCCAGGTGATCACAGGGGCAGGGGAGGGTGGCGGGAGGACTCTAGGGGGGACTGACCAAGGGCCAGGGATGGCTAGAGGTAGTTGAAGGCTGAGCCAGAAGGAAGGCCACTGGCCAGGGCAGACTCCGGGGCCTGGGGGTGCGCTCTGGGCTGGAGGTGGAGGGTGTTGGACTCTAAGCGTGGGCAGGACAAGCCTGGGCGGCCGAGGAGCCTGGGAACCCACACCGGGAGGCGGCCGGAGCAGCCATTTCTGGCAAGGTGTGGGGCCAGAACCAGGCGGTGGCAGGAGTTAGGGAAGGAAGGACACACCCCAGCCATCAAGGAGGGGAATCCCAGGACCTGGGCCCTGCAGCCAGGAGGGCGTGGCCCGGACAGCAGCCTAAGGGGTTCATCCCAACCTCAGGGGCCAGAGGGGGCGGGCCTGGCAGGCCAGGGAGTGGGACAGGTGGACTGGGCACCCTGGGCCGGGTCAGCACTGAAGAAAGGAGCTGGGGCAGAGGCCCCAGGGCAGAGGAGGGAGCAGCAGGGGGCCGGCGGCCTCCTCCTGCCCACAGCCCGCCAGCTGAACCGTCACCAATATTAATGACGGGAGAGAGGGCCAGGGGGCAGGAAATCAGAGCCGGCTCCTGTGGAAGCCGTGACTCAGCGGCCAGCCCAGGGGCGGAGGGCGGCGGGATGGCCCAGGGACAGCCTCTCCTCTGACCCCAAGATGGCCCTCCTGGGGTCAGGATGCCGGGAACAACCTGGTGAGGCGGCGTGGTGGGCACCGGGCACCTCCCGCCCAGCCCCTTCTTTGGGGAGCAAAAGAGAAAAACGAGCCTCAAACTCAAAGCAGGTTGGGCCTGGGAGGAGGCCCAGGCGGGCAGCAGAACAAAGCGCCTGACGTGGGGCTGGGCCGCCGCCGCAGGAAGCAGCCAGCCGGCCGGCCAGGGGACTGGCCAGGCCAGGGGACCCGGCGCCCGCGCCCGGCCCCTGCCCCGACCCCCTCGCCAGCCCGCCTTGCGCTGGCGGAGTGAATCACTAATTAAAACCACTCCTCCATCCCCGCCGCTCTGGGTTACTATTATTTTGTTCTCTGAGCTGCTTGGGCTGGTACGTGCAGTGCAGCTGGAATAATCTCCTTCCAAACTAGGCATTGAATCCCGCCTAGCTCTAGTGTGGGATCTGGGACAAGTGCCCCTGGACGTGGCCAAGCCTCTGCTTTCCCACCTGTGAAATAGGGATGGTGCTGGTACCAATCTCTGGGATTATTTGGAAGCACTTTTGCTTAATGCCTGAAAGAAAGTAGGTGCTCAGTTAAAGGAAGCCGGTACCAGCGTGTGACAATTCCCTGCACCTCCCTGGCCAGTATGGGTATGGGGCGGGGATAAGAGCTGGGGATTCAGGAAATCAAACCTGCCTTCACAAGAGGTCCCCAGCTCCCTTTACCCCAACAAGGCCCCCATGAGCAAAAATAATCCCCCAAAGCTTTGCCCCAAGGAGGAGGGTGAGGAGGGTCCCTACAGAGAGGGGACAGAACCTGACTTCACAGAGCTACCCCAGAGGCACCTTCCACTTAACCCCCAGGGGTAGCAGAGGGTGACCTTTGAAAGCAAGCAGGAGAGGAGGAACGCAGAGAAGCAGCTCACGCCCCCAGTCCTGGGTCCACCCCACCCGCGCCCCAACCCGGCCCTAATTTGTTACATGCAGCTCTCTTGCCAGTTCCAAAGTAATAAAATCTTCCTGAAATGCTAGAACCGTGAGGCCCGGCGCTGACGAGGCGGCCGGCTTCCGGAGGCCGCTGCTGGGCGGCGCTCTAAACCCCTGGCGATTGTTAAAATGATCGCTGCAGCCACAGCCCTTGGCCTGCCGTCCCTCTTCGCAGACGTCAGGGACACGTAGACAGGAGGCCACAGAGCCCCTTAGGCTTCTCTCAGGGCTGAGCAAGCCAGGTCTCCTGCCTGCCAGGAGAGACCAGGACCCTGCCTGCGACCAGAGTCCAGCCACCGACGTGCCTGGCTGGCTGCAGGTATCGGCACAGAGAAGGGCAGGAGGAGGTGCCCGTGGGAACTGGGCCCGCACAGGCACACTCCCATCGGCCTTCCACATGGGGCTGGCAGGACCCCACCGGCCCAGCCCCCAGGTCCAGGAACCGCAGGCTACCACTCACCTTCCCCACGAGCTTGCCTTTCCGGTTCATGCACAGGTAGAACTCGGTCTCCTTGCCCTTGATCCGCACTTGGCTACCGAAGGTGTCCGTCTCCACTAGGAGCTGGGCTTGGAAGGGCAGAAGGAGAACAAGACAGGTTTTTTAAAGTCTAGTCCTAAAGGCTCAGCAACCTGGTCCCTGACTCTATCCCTGGTCCCTCTGTCCCCCCAAATCAGGCAGAGGGACCCTCTGTCAGGTCCCATGAAAGCACCGTGCCCCCAGGGCCCAGAGAAGGACGCTGGGAGCATCTGTCCTGCCTTCCAGCCTCTCTGCTCCTACGTGGGACCCAGAGGGCTCCTGCTGCCGTTCTGTCCCATGGCTAGACACCAGTGTTCCCTCCTCCCCGTCACCCCAGTTCTCCAGTCCCCCCACTCCACTCCCCACCGCAGGTCCAACAGCGGCACCCCTGAGAAGCCTCGGTCTCTGGATGCAGGGAGCAGGCCGACTCACGAGCGCACACAAGTCAGATGGAGGCTCTTCCCCAGGCAGACACCAGAACCCCTGCAGGTGCCCCGACACCTCTGCCTGTGATGCAGCAAGACACTGGGAGGAGACACACGCCCAGGGAAAGGGATTCAAGATGTTCCACTTCCCTCCCGTTGGGCACCAAAGCTACAGGGTAACTAACTATCTCCCAAGGGCCAGAAGTCCCAATCCGGACCCAGTTCCTCCTCATCCAGGGTAGGACACACCATGCTAGACCACCGTGTTCCACAAGGCCTCCCTCTGGGTAACCAGTGCGGAGCCTCTAAACTCCTGACTGAACGGGAGCTCAAGAAACTAAAGGGTGACTGTCCCTCCCTTAGGCATGCTCTGTCCAGACCCTTCCCTTCTCTCTGCCAGACCACACTTTTCCCCAGCAGGGTGCTGTGTGACTTGAGTAGGTCATACAACCTCTCTGAGCTCCCTTTGCTCTCTGCCTGCGAACCCCCATGTCTGGTTCCCCCAGCAGCACTTCCCCTCCCACAGCTGCTTTCTTTGGCTGTAGGAATTCTCTCTCAGCCTTCCCTGACCCTTTGCTTCCCAGCACCTGCCCCTCCCTCACCCACAAAAGTTTAATTCCAGTGACAAGGGACTTGCTTCTCCATAACAAACATCACAGCCCCAAATTCCTGAGTACAGTATCCTTGGAGCCACAAAATGTGTACCTCAGTGCCCCTAAAATACTCTAGGTATGATTTTAATAAAAAAAAAAAAAATCACAAATATAGCCCCCGGTACCCTGTTGTGCAAATTGAAACCAGGTGGAGCTCGGGATTTCCAGTAATTAATTCAGCCCGCCTTTGACACCGCTGCTAATTAAACACCACCACCCCCCTTTCCAAGGGGGGAAAGGAATTTACATAAAATTTAAAGATCTAACAGGAATCCAGGCACTCTGGGGACGGGAGGCTGACTTCTCCACCGCCCCCAGGGGACACTGAGTCAGGAACCTGAACCCACTGAGCTGGCGAGGCCCGGCTGCCCCGCTGCCCCTGGTCCAGGCCCTGTCCCCGGCCGGAGCTCCACTCCCGGGGTGGCTTCCTCCGTCCCCTCACCACGCTCTGGCCTCGCAGTGGTGAGGGCTCGGGGATCAGGACAACCCGGGGGCTTCCACCCGGCAGCGGAGGTATTGGGGTGCCGGCGCTGGAGCGCAGGGAGGGGAGGCGCATGCGCAAGGACCCGCGGGCCTCGGTCTCCGCACCGAGAAAATGGACCCACCGCGAGGACTGTAGGACACGGCAGCTCCGCTCTCCGAGGATGGGGAGGGGCGGCAGCAACTGGGGTTTAAGTTTCCTAAAAACTGAAAAACCAAGCTGTTTTCCTAAAAAAAAAAAAAAAAAAACAGTGGAAAAACCAGGACGTGTGCGCACAGGGGACCCGCTCCCAAGGCCACCTGCTGCCCCGCCTGCTGCCCAGGGAGCGCCCGGCCCGGAGCCTTTCCCGTTCCAGCGGTGACCATGGGGCTGGGGCCCAGGACACCCCAGGTAAGTCCCAGGGAGACTCCGCTCTGCCGGCCTCCATCCTCAGAAGAGCCTCCACCGTGCCCAAGCTCTGATCCCGTGCCAGCCCACCAACGCCGCACATGCCCACAGCTGGAGGGTCTCTGGAGGAGGCCAGAGGTTCAGACCCCGCGCCTCTTCTGCAGATTCCTGAGCTCAGGGACGAGGTCCCAGCTCTGGGGAGCCCTGCCTCCCGGTGAAACCCCCACCGCTCTTGGCCAGGGTGGCCAGCGGGCGCCTGGCCTCTGCTGGAGCTGCCCGCAGAACTGGCCTGGGCTGGGCCGGACTGCACCTCCACCCCCTCCGCAGCACCAGGGGGTCTGCGCCTGGCAGCCTCCGTGCCAGAGGAGACAGAGCCTGTCCTTCCCGCCCACCCCCAACAGCCTGCAGAGGAGTGACCTAGACTCTGCTCAGCGCATGACATAATGAGGAGGGACCTGGGCCAGAATTATGTAAAGTCCTCAGGGAGTAATAGCAGCAGCCGTTCTCAGAGAGAGAAGGAGAGAGACTCCACCCAGGCCAGGTTCGCCCAGCGTCCCTCACCCCCTCCCAACACCCACGTCCCCAGGATGCAGCTCTCAGAAGCCTGAAGCCTTCTCTCGGTTCCATTCTTGGGGCCTGCGGCAGGCCAGGCCGAGGGGTGGGTGGTGACTCCTCTCCAGCCAGCTTGAGCAATTCAGCAGGGGCTCCCTCTACCACCCTGGCCCACTGGTCTCCCCTGCACACATCAGCCAGAGGAATCCTTCTAAAATATCAATTTAATTACATCTCTTCCCTGCTAAAAACCTCCTAGGGATCTTCAACCCACTTAGAATAAAATCCAAACTCTTGACTAGGACCTACATCCCTGGCCCCTGCCCTCCCGCCCTCCTCCTGCCCCAGCCAGCAGCCGCTCTTCTCACACACCCAGCATGCTCCTGCCTCAGGCCCTGTGCACTTGCTGGCCCAGCCGCCTGGAGGCTGCCTTGCCCAGAGCATCCCATAGGGGCTCCTCATCTCCAGATGGCCACTCAGATGTCACCTCCTCAGAGAGGCCTTCCTTGACCAGGCTGTGTAATGTTGGGGCCACCTCCCCAAGTCCAGCCTGCCTCAACCTCCTACACTATCCTGTGTTAAAGTTTGAATAAGGGTCCCCTCAAAGGCCCCAGCAAGAAAGGCTCAGTCCCCAGCCCATGGCACTGTTGGGAGGTGGCAGAACCTGTTAAGAGGTGTTGGCCTCATGGGAGGAAGTAGGGTCACTGGGAGTATGTCCTTGGAGGGAAAATTGGAGCTTACACCCCTCTTGCTTCTTTTTTTGCTTCCAGGTGACCCTGAGGTAAGGGCCTCCCCCGACACTAACTCCTGCTGGGACATGCTGCCTCACCAAGGCCCAAAAGCAATGAGCCAACTGACAATGGGCCAGACCTCCAAAACTGAACCAAAAGAAACCTTTCCTCTTTTGAAGTTGATTCTCTCAGGTGTGTTGTTACAGTGACGGAAAGCTAACACAATTCGTTACCCTGTTTATTGTCTGTTCCCACTTACAAGAAGGTAAGTACGATGGGGACAAGGATCTACCTACTTATTATCTCTGTGATATCCAGCCCCTATTCCAGGCCTGGCTCGTGGGAAATGACCAATAAGTAAGTTCTAACAGGTACATGAACAGCTCGCCATATAGGTATGACCAACACTGAGAAGTAAGGAGAGCTGGGCGTGTGGTACACACCTGTGATCCCAGCAAGTCAGGAGGCTGAGACAGGAGGATCTCAAGTTCAAGTCTAGCCTCAGCAATTTGGTCACCTACACAATTTAGCAAGACCCTGTGTCAAAATTAAGAATAAAAAGGGGGCTGGGGTGTGGCTCAGCGGTAGAGTGCTTGCCTCACACCTGTAAGGCACTGGGTTCCATCCTCGGCATCTCATAAAAATAAACAAAATTAATGTATTTTGTCCATCTACAACTAAAAATATATATATTTTTTTAAAAATTAAGAATAAAAAGGGCCGAGGATAGAGCTCAGTGGTAAAGTGTCCCTGGGCTCAATCTGCAGTAGCAAAACCCAGAAGCTAAAACGGAGACTCAGGGAGGTGAAGGGACATGCCCAAGGGCACTCAGCTGTGACACAGGCGGAGGGGTGTAGACTCGGCCTCTGACTTCAGTCGATGCCCTTGACCAGTCTGCTCCTTCCTGCTGAGGTTCCTGGTGTCACTCAGGCCACTTGCTAAAATGCTGGGCTCCCACTCATCCCCAGCCTCAGTATCAAAGATAAAACCCTTGCTGTGTGACAAAGGAAGAAACCCTTTCCCTCTGAACCAGGACAGGTGACCCGTTAAGACCCCTTTAGCTTTGTCTGGCTAGATCGTATCAGTAACTCACATTTATGGAGAGTTTCTGAGGAGCAGGCACTCTGCAAACTACCTTCCATGTGCTGTGTCAGTACTCCCAACAAGAGTCCTGTGAGGGCTGGGCACGGTGGCACATGCCTGTAAACCTCCCCTGCCCGCCCCCAACGGGGCTCAGGAGGCTGAGGCAGGAGGATCGCAAGTCCAAAGCCAGCCTCAGCAACTTAGCAAGGTGCTAAGCAGCTCAGTGAGACCCTGTCTCTAAATAAAATAGCAAAAAGGGCTGGGGGTGTGGCTCAGTGGTTGAGTGCCCCTGAGTTCAATCCCTAGTACCAAAAAAGTTTTTACAAAGTCCTTGTGAGGTTAGAACTCTGGTCCTCATCCCTACTGCACAGGCAGGAAGACTGTCCCCAGGGCCACACAGTGAGGGAGCTAAGAGTCACACCTAGGCAGACTGCCTGAAGTTTGGGTCTTAGGGGTCTATCTCCCTCTCCCCCTCCCTCTCCCCCACATCCCCTCCTGGGAGGAATAGTAACAGCACTGAGTGGGGGTGGTGTCTTCTCCTGGGCTTCATTCCCGTGGGCAGAACTCAGGGGGCAGAGAGGCCATCAGAGCAAGAAACAGAGGCCCATCCCTCCCGCCTCCACTTCCAAGTGACTTTGAGGAAGGAGGGATCCCTAAGGTGACCTTGAGAGGCACCCAGGACAGAACTAGATGACAGCCAGCCAGCCAGGGAACCTTCCCTCTGGAGAAGGGACAAAG